CGTGTTTTTCAACTTTCTAAGTACAAGAAGATCGTCGTACAAAATCAAACAAACCGGAATTCCTACGTTTTCTTTTCCAGCTGTCAATGGTTTTGTCCGTTTGTCAGGAATTAACAAGATAATTTATTTATGATTTATCTATCTAGAAACACGCCAAGCAGAAACTTTGCTTGCTTTAGCGTATCATTATCTAGCTGACCAGTGTACGGAAGAGATGCACGCCAGTATCGCCAGTAACTTCATCGCGCTTTATACGCTGTACTTGGGTACTGTTGGAGGTTGTGATGGAAATAAGGAATGCACGATTGACAACGTAAATGTGGAATGCGGAGAGCAGAGTGGAACTCTTCGCAGAAGGGACATAGCTGATAGCGAACAGGCTTCTAAAGTTCCTCTTACTGTGACATTTGCTGTAAAAGTCCCACTGCCCAGCAATACCTCCGTGGTTGATTTGAACCAGACAACTCAACAGATATCAAGTACCATTCTAGCATCTCTGAATGAAACAGACCTGTCTTTGAACATTAGTGGAGTTGTGTTGGAATATGACCCATCAAAACCACCGGCGGTACGAGTAGTTGGTCTTGTCTGTGACAAAGGACAAGTTCTTAAAGGAACTAAATGTGGTAAGAACTTATTATTAGCAACCAAGATCCTTGATTGGTTTCATTGCATTTCATGTTCTTGAACAAGACACGAAACATAATATATCACAGCAAAGGCAAAATTTTTAAGCCATCAGTGGCGTAAACCGGGTTTTTGTCAAATTCATACGAAAAATAGTTTTGGCTTTTTAGCTCGCATGTGCCTTGTTTTGCACTTTCAGCTCTTCAATGAAAAAAGTCATCTGAAAAGAAGTAGCTAAATTGTCAGATGTTTGTTATGATGTTTCGCACTATTCAGCGTCGTTCTTGTTTGTGACTTGCTCGATATATTTGTTTAATTTTCGTTTCCAACTTTGTAAATCAAAACAAATCATGCTAGATGTTTTAACGGAAAAAAAAATAGATTTTTTAACGGCCAAAACTGTATATCTACTTGTGGCTTGAATCAGATTATGAAATTCATTTCGACTTGCTAATTTTTACTTTCTACTTTTATTATTTTGTTTTTATTAGTCAATTGTCCCCTTGGGTACTTCTTCAACACTACTGGTTGCCAAGCATGCACAGAAGACCACTACCAGGATCAAGAAGCCCAAAACGAATGTGTCACGTGTCCATCCGGGACATCTACTTTTGGACAAAAGGGATCAAAAGGAAGCAAAGACTGTCAAGGTCAGTTGAAATTGTTTGGTTGTTGACTTGTTTATTTGCTTGGTTGGCAGTTTCTTTTGGTGGTTGTTTCTTTTGTCGGGTTGTTTTTCTGTTTGTTTGCCTGTTTCGTCGGTTGGTTTTTGATTTGTCCGTTTGCTTCCATGTACTTCTTCGGTTTTCCTGCAACAGTTCGAAACTTAGTTTTTATTTTGATTTAAGTTAACTTCCCAAAAAGCGTGTTTCAGTTTTGTCATGTATTCTTCCATTAACCCTCTATGGCCTTCCAGTTTCAATCAGCCTGGTAGAGTTTTCTACACTTTTAGGGCGTAACATACACATGCCCGCACCTTCTTTTTCCTCGCGTCCACCATAGCTCCATGTTTCTTGATTTCCTCGATCCGCTTTTGAATTTAGTGACAAAGTAGTGTTTTGCATTTTTCTAGGCATTTCCATCTCGTCCGGGACTGAAAAACAAGGCATGCCCGCGAAGATTTTTTACCCAGTCATAGTTTTGGGATCTGGCCTAGTTATTGCAGTAGTTTTTGTCGCCATCTTCTGTCTGCGGAAACGCCGTCTGTAAGTTCTTTAGTACACGATAGGATAATTAACAACCCGAGGGTGACACTTAATAGTTAAAAACTAATGAACTTGTGGCCCTCTATAAACATTGTTATAATTTAAAAACCCTATTATTAAAAATAAATTAAAATCGAGAAACAAAAAATTGATTTGAATTGTCTATCATGTTGGAAAGTTTGAGCTCCATCGGATTAAAGACAGAAAAGTAGTTCCCTAATGACTACTTTTGGCGACAGCTAACCCGGCGTGAATGTTCAAAAGATACGTGGAACCACATGGAAGCTGGATGGTTACTCAGTACATGGCTTTAACGGACCCTTTATGGCGTCATTTTCAATGTGGTCCATGAAAACTTGTGATAGATTAGCAAACGTAAGGACTATCGAGATTGTCCCGTTAAACTATGACAGAATTTCTGTTAAAGTCCTAGCCCTTACATGAATGTTTAAATACTCTAGTGGGGCGTTTTCACATGACGTGACGGCAGCCATGTTGGTGTTCCAAAACAATGAAGCGGCGGCCATGTTAGTGCACCAAACCAATTCAGTGGAAGTAGAACTCTTTTCTTATGCAAACTCTTTCTTTTGTTCCAATAAATTTGCGTACATATGTGATGGCCACGCTCTATATACGGATGGCTAATTTACATTATGATTTCTGTGAGATTATTCAATATTATTGCATAATTAACAATTAGACCCGTAGCCCTTGCGGGCTACGGGTCAATAACCCATGAGGCGAAGCCGAATGGGCTATTGTAAACTTTATCACTCATAATGTTCCTATAACTTAGGCATCTTATCATGGTCATTATCCAAACATTCAACTTAGTAAACTAGACCAACACTTTCTATTTAACTCATTCCATTCAAGAAAGCCGTGAGTTTTCGTTTGAAAGCAGACAAAAAGTACTTTCTGAAAAAAAAGAAAGGTTTCCTTCATGGGAACAAATATTTCTGTTACAAATTTTGACTCAGTACAACTAAAGAAAAACAGGTTAAAAATTATAGAGAAACAAAATATTATGTCAAACCACTCTGCTGTTTGAATTTGATGATGAAACAAACCATTTTTCTTGTTATAAGAACAAACTTATCTCGAAAGCAGAACAGCAGTTGAGAAAATCATCTGGTACTTTCTGTCACGATTTTTCCCTGAGACCGGTAGGAGGAGAAGCACACGGCAAAGAAAAGGCTTTTCTCTGCAATTTCTCTCTTTCCCTACCCTCTTGCTAGGAAAGGCCTGATACTCAGGTTATTAACAGGAGTATCGCGTACTGTCACTGCTCTAATCTTTTAATGCAAATTAGAGTCAAGTCCTTTGTCCTCAGCGAAAACGCTGCAAAACATTTACATTTACCTTTGGATTCCTGCCAAGTCAGCCAGCCGTGACATGAGCTCTACGACACGTAAGATTACTCAACACAAATGAGCGATCTGAATAAACGGCATGCCAAAGGTAGAACTGGCGATCGGAAGTGCTTTACGGTCACAACTGAACACGAGCGAAGTGACACTCGCCTCGAATATCGAGATTTACCGGTGCTTCAGAATTACTTACGATACCTTCTGAGTTGTTTTTATCCCAAAATCCATCTCCAGGATCTTTGAAATCGTTTTCAATTTGTTTTATATCAGAATCTCCGCCATTTCGAAGAGAATTTACTTGATCGCGGTGTGTTTATTCAACCCCAGCAAACTTTCGGCAATCCTACGAGTACTTTTCGGCAATTCTTTGCGAGCCGTGTTCTCAAAAATCGAGATTTATTTCTGCTACGGTGAAATTTTCCTCCCTATACACGGGGACTTCTAAGGTGCCTCCTCGTGCGTGGGCAAAAGTGAAGTTTACGATAAAAATACAATTTTAATGTTGCGGACTTATTTTTACCTAAGCAGTTATCCTTATCCTTTTTTTACTCGCCAAAGATCAATGCTTGAATTTTTTTTTTTTT